TATTTGTTCAGGGTCAAGAGGCCAGGAGTTTCTCCAGTGGCAGCAATCTGTTTCAGAAACTATGGATTCAGGAGGGCATTAATTTTGGGAAAGAGATGGTCCAAGCTGATGGCACCCATCTTTCCAATGGAACAGACTGGCAACTGGTGAGAGATTTCTCCATTGCACAATGATAAGCCCCAGCAAGCAGTGATCTGTCCATGACAAGGGAACAGTCTTTAGAAGATAAAATTTTTTAGTGTTCAGCAGTAATTCTGGCTTTCCTTTAATTGTAATAGTTACATAATAAAATCATACATTAGAAGTGTAAAGAAATAAATTGACAAGTAATAATTAATACCAATTGAAAAAATTAATTTGAGGTTACCGGGGGGGGGGGGTAAAGAAAAAAAGCCAACCTAGCAGTTCGGAACAAGAAATTGCAAGTAGATAAATAGGTACCTAGGGGGCCTGGCGGGAGCTGGTCCATGGGGTCGCGAAGAGTCAGACTCGACTGTGCGACTGAACAACAAAATAGGTACCACTTCGGTGGGAAGGTAACAGCATTCCCTGCGCCTTGGTGTTTAGTCATGCCGGCCACATGACCACGGAAACGTCTTCGGACAGCGCTGGCTCTTCGGCTTTGAAACGGATATGAGCACCGCAACCCTAGAGTCGGACTCGACTGGCTTTCAAGCAAGGGAACCTTTACTAAGAAAAACAAAAGATGTCTGAATTGTATAATGATATATTTTTGGAACATAGAATTAAGTTTGTGGGAACATTCCCAAGTGGATTATAAAGATAGGACCATAGATAAATTAGAAATTAATCCAATTTGGGCATACTGTAGGTTATCTTTGATAAATTAGTTTAAATGTTATTCCTTCCTTTGTTATGATGATTTGTATAAACTTGTATTATGGGAATTAAAAGCAAAATAAAATATCTCCAGTGTCCCCACCTTCCAATCACCTTCTTCCTTGCCCAGAACAGAACACCGGGTCAACAGTGTGACAAGTACAATATCAACATCAACAAAAACGAAGTGGACCAGAACTGGCAACAGCAGGTGTGCCAGAATCAAGAAAGGCCTCCTTTGTGCATCCCAGCCTCCGACATCTTGAGACTCAGCAAATTTGATCTCCAAAAGCCATACCAAATGGAGTGGAGGAGGAAGCCAGGCACACCTCTATGGGCAGGGGCGGTGTCACCTAAGGGCACTGTAATGATTTCATGTTTAACTGTGTGTGTGTGGCTTTAAAAGTTTGGTTTGCTTGGCTGTGTGATAATCTAGAGTGCTTGAAACTGGCAAGTGGTATGACAGAGAGGGGGAGGGGTTTTGGAATGGATGCTGTGTGGATGATTGGAATGTCTATCTGGAGTGACTGTTAGAGTTATGATCGTGGATGAAGACAGTTGAAGTTCAGTTAAGCTATGTATAGGAGTTGAAGGAGACTCATCCCTGTGTGGGATAATTTGGTTCTGTGTAGTAAAAGAGTTAAGCAGTTTGTTCGTTTTAAGGTCTGAGAGAGAAAAGTCTTGTGTGTGGTATGAAAAGTTGAAGTATAAAGAAACAGTAACCGTATGTGGCCTGAAGGAAAAAAGTGTTACTAAGTTACATGCCCAGATCCCTGTCAGTAAGAGAGAAAAGTGTGTGAAATATTAATAAATCTACTTTTATTTAAGATACCAGTACTAAAGAAATTCTTCCCAGGAAACACATAGTTCCTCGAAAGCCTAAAATCTCGATCCACCTACCCTGTGATAGAAATATAGTAAAAGGTTTGGAAAGCCTTCTAAAATTTCCTGGTTGCAGCCGGGTACCCAAAGTAAAATAAAATAAAAGGAACACTTTTAAAGTAAAACCAGATCTCCCCAGTTAAAGGGTCGTCACAGGCATGCTTCAGGATTTCTCATTGTGGACTAGCTCCCACAGCACACTTCGGAGACATGTTCACAGATTTAGGGATGCCAGCCTCCAGGTGGGACCTGGGGATCCCCTGGAATGATAGCTCATCTCCAGACTACAGAGATCGGTTGCCCTGGAGAGAATGGATGCTCTGGAGGGTGGACTCTATGGCCTTGTACCCCACTGAGGTCTCTGTCCTCCCCAGGCTCCACCCCCAAATCTCCAGGAGTTTCCCAGCCCGAATTTGGCAAGCCTACCCCCTCATCCCCCACCTGTGGCCAGAGGGGCACATGGCAACCGCAGGCCGATTGCTGATTGTTTTTTCCTCAGTGCAATGATGGGAGGACTCTGTTCCGTTGATCCAGCCGACAGATTGGGACTTTGCTTCCTGGGGATATATTAAGATGCCACAAAGCAAAGAGCCACCTTGGGCATTCTTTGGAACTCGTTATCAGGCTGCTCTTAAGCCTAGCACAAAGGGGGGGGGCAGGGGAAGAGGGCGCGGGTACTGAAGGAAGGCCCCAGCCTGCCCAGTGTCTCAGGGTCAAACCAGACATGACGGCATCCTCACGGCCGCCACAAAACCACCGCTGTCATTTAAAAATGCTGCCGGGGCCCTGTAGCTAGGGTTGCCACCTCCAGGTTGGGAAATGCCTGGAGATGTTGGGGGGTGGAGCCTGAGGAGGGTGGAGACGTCAGTGGGGTATAATGCCATAGAATCCACCTTTCAAGGCAGCCATTGTCTCCAGGTGAACTGATCTCTGACACTTGGTGATTAGCTCTACTCCAAGAAATCTCCAGCCACCACCTGGAGGTTGGCAACCCTACCCGCAGCACAGTGTAGTGGTTAAGTGCGTGGGGTCTAATCTGGGAGAACCAGGTTTGATTCCCCACTCCTCCAAGTGGCAGCTGCTGGAGCGACCTTGGGTCAGTCATAGTTCTCTTAGAGCTGTTCTCTCAGGAGCAGTTCTCTCAGAGCTCTCTCAGCCCCACCTACCTCACAGGGTGTCTGCTGTGGGGAGGGGAAGGGAAAGGAGATTGTAAACTGCTGTGAGACTCCTTTGGGTAGTGAAGGGCGGGATATGAATCCAATCTCTTCTTCTTCTTCCTGCACCATTTCAAGTGCCGAAACAGCTGTCTGGAATGATCAAACTGTCTCTGCCTGCCATGGCAATTAGAAAGTGTGGATTGCTCTTCCTCCCCACACCACCAAGTCAAACCAGTGATTGCTAGATTATGGCCCCGGTCATACGGGCAGGAAAATGCAGGGGGGGAGCGTGGCTGTTTGCCCCAGAGGAAAATAACGTGCAGTTGCACGATCAGACGTCCCCTCGAGGTCCCATGGTTAGGGGGCAGGTGCCGATCACACGACGATCCTGCAGCGCGGCAAAGAAGCGGTGCGGCGCGATCACACCAGCAATCGTTAGGCGCCACTTCCGTGGCAAACGGGATGGATTCTTTAAAAAACCTGAAGTTTGTGCATACGCATGACTGAGCAATCGTATCTGGGTGGGTGGTGGGCTTACCGGAGAGGGTGACAGATGCTTCCGGACCCCAACAGAGCTCCGAGGCATAGCCAATGGAGGAGGAGGTGGGCCCCCTCGTCACAGCCGCTCTACATGCCTGCGCGACAGTGGCCATAGCGACCCTCCAGAGGCGGCAAGCTTGGCTGCAGTGGGAGGGGGCCTCTGTGCGCATGCGCCGTTGGGTGCTTGTCTGCATCCTGTGGAGACTTGGGAAAAAAACCTGTTCGCGACGAGACATGGGCGGGCGCTGGATGCCACGGGATTCCACCGGAAACGCGATCAGGCGCCCGCCCTTGCCCCACGGTTTACCCCACATCTTCGGCGGGAAGCCTTGCGTTCGGCACGGGAGCTCTACGCTTCCCAGATGTGGTGGTGTGATCACCCGGAAAATCCACCTATCTTCCGTCTCTGTAGCGTGGCTAATGTTCCGTGTGACCGCAGCCTATACTTGTTTGATACGGTTGTAACAATCTATTTCAATAGTTTGTCAGTGAGTCTCTATGTCTTCCCCCTTATATATTTCATGTTTAAATAAAAGCTGGAAATTCGGACAACCTGTTACACACCTTGTCAAAGCGTTAGTCAATGGTCAATTTAAAAGGAACAAAAGCAAAAAAGGCCACGTGGTGCAGCGGGAGCCTGCCATATGAAAGCCCCATCTGCAGCTGCTACACCCCTCTCCCGGTGGCAAACACCACTCTTAGGGGGGGGAGGTGTCTGTCCCACGTAGGGTTGCCAGGTCCCCCTCGGCCACCAGCAGGGGATGGGGGAGGTAAGTTTGACAGACGCAGGTTGGGAAACTCCTGGAGGTTTGCGGGTGGAGCCTGGGGAGGACCGGGGCCTCAGTGGGGCCCAGTGCCACAGAGTCCACCCTCCAAAGCACCCCTTTTCTCCAGGGAGACTGTTCTCTGTAGTCTGCAGATGAGCTGCAATTCCCGGGGATCCCCCAGCATCCCTCCTCCAAGTAGCCCTCCTTGGTGCGTTCAGCTTGGCACCCAGGACTGTGCACCCAACCGGGGCAGTCGCGCTAAGTAGAACTGGCCCTTGGCCTCGATGAACTTCGGAAGGCGAAACTCTGCGCAGGGTTGCCCGGGGAGGGGGGGGGGTCTGCTACGCTTCCGGGACCGTCTTTCCAGAAAGGCGCCAACAAGGCAAAGGGGCGGCAGAACTTTGGGGGTTCTCTCCCCCACCGTGCTCCGAAACGTCTCTGTCTCTTCTTCCCCCTCCGGTTTCTGCATCCTGACCAATGCTCCCTCTAAGCTGTGGAGTCCTGTGAGCAAAAATTCTGCTTTGTGAGCTACTGGCATTAAAGTTGCGAGCAGGTGATTTGGCTACTGCATAAATTGGTTTGCTCTGGAGCCCTCCTTCCTGAGCTAAGACAAAAATGTGTGAGCCAGAGGCTAAAAGACTGTGAGCTAGCTCACACTAACTCAGCTTAGAGGGAACACTGATCCTAACCGTGCAAGCCCATACACAGGACCGCCGCCGGGGCAGGCACAACCAGGAAGGAAGGAAGCCAGCCGGCTCTCGCCTCGCCAAGGACCGCCCCCTCGCCCTGGCGTCGCGTCGAGTTGGGGCGCCGCCGCCGCCGCCGCCGTGGCCGCTCTGTCGCCCGCCGGCCCGAGCCATGGCCGAGCTGCCTTCGGGAGACCCTCCCGATCCCGAGGAGGGGGTCCCGGCGCCGCCCTCCTCCGCGCCCGGCTGCGCGCGGCTGCAGGCCGTGGAGCCGGTGCTGCTGCTGGCCACGCTGGCGCTGGGCCTGCAGAGCCCGCTGCTCACCCAGTACCTCTGGACCCGGCTGGCCAACGGCACCCGCAGCGGGGGCGGGGGCTGTGTCAACGGGAGCGGCTCCGGGGATACCCCCGGGCAGCAGGTGAGCAGGAGCCGCCGGCTTGCGAGCCCCTGGGAGCGGAGAGGGGGCCTTCGGGGAGGGTTACCAACCTCCAGGTGGGGCCTGGGGGGGTCTCCTGGCATTGCAGCTGAGCTCCAGACAACAGGTCCACCTGCCCCCCTG